GTGTAAGTAGGCTATATCGATCAGTTGATACGATTTTTGCGCTCCAGACCCGCTTAGTGTCCCAAAGACTGGAACACTTTATGCTCATATAAAATGCGATCATGTGAGTGGACTTCGGCGCCTGAGGAGGCAAAAACCAACAAAAAGGTCGGATTTAAGCCGGTCTTTTCGGAGCCAACCTGAAAAGCGTGAATGGACTGTGGCCGATTGAAGGCGATTGCGGGCGGTGCCCGGAAGTGCACGATGGAGCGGTCGTGTGAGCAGTTGTGATTTGTGTTCTTTCTTTGGGCGGAGTGTGTCGCCTCGTCTCGTCTCGTCTCGTGACCGGTGACAGCCGACTTTCAACCGACCAGCAACAAGGCCTCTGGCTCGCCCCTCGCGGTCAAGTGACGCGGTAACCGGACACTTTGTGTGTATTCGGTCGCGTCGGATTGGCCGCAAAGTCGGTCAGCTTCACTGTCTCACCCAAAAGTGCACCAGCGCCACCACCGCCTCTGAGTTGGACCGGCTTCGACACCGGCCCGAGGGACTCGAGCTCGGCTCTTTGCAGCTTCTTCTTTCCTTGCCTCTCTCCTCTGTAGCACACAAGTGTCAATCACACTCTTCATACTCTCTTCGAAAGCAGATTTGTTCTCTGCCAATCTGGTCGTTTGCCCCGATGCCTTTGTCATGTCAACTACATTATTCGCGTTTTATTGCTTTACAATTCCTGAAAAAAGGCCTCTCATTTTTGCGTTTCCACTTTTTATCCCGCCTCCCGACCCTTAATTCCACTTATTCAAATTTATCCTTTCTCCGTTCACACCATCCCCATCTCAGTCATACCCATTTGGTTCTCTTCAAAGGTACACTGTAGTCCTTCCCATTTTGGTATTTTGCACGAAACTGTTATCTTTGCTGACTTTTCGCTTCTTTGTCATCAAATGCACACAAGTCAAATTCAACTCATGGACAATTTTTCATACACAATTTTACTTTCCTCCCGTACCGTTTTACTATTTTGCTTGCCCATGGCGCACTGTTGCCCGACAGGGTTCATTGCTTCGTTTTGCAATTAGTTTAATAACTTTTTTGCCAATTTTCCCTCTTTCCGGCTTTTGCTGTTTACTCATTTTTTGCACGTTAGCAACGTAGTCGATTGTTACAGCAAAATGCGCTCTTTCCATCGACATTCCCACCAAAGAAAGAATGTGAAATGGGAAAAGGCCTGGCCTTACTTGAAATTAACATCTGCTCTGTGACGCAAAAGCACTCGTGGCAATGTGGCATAACTTTTGGCAAAGCAAGGTTGCGTCAAATTGAATGGAAACGTCAGCTCTACTCACATTATTGTGGGAAAATGTTACTACCAGTCGTTCAATTTCGGGTGAAACTGATTGGTGAAGCGATGCGACTGTCTATTCCACCAAAAGACAACTTTTCTTCGCATATAATACATCTCATATTTCGCTGGTGATCGTCTTTTGGTGCGATCAGGCATCGAATCACTTCATCGAAACACTTTAGCTCAAAATGGAGGCAAGTTGACTAATCAGAAATGAAGCGATTCCTCGAAGCACAACTTTTCTTTGCAGCTCAAGGTTCACTTTCAAAAGTCCCGCTGCCTAATTGTCGCGGCCAATTGAATAGAGATGGAATTACAATAAAAAAAATCTGGATTTATGCCGAATTAAGAAATTGAAAGGAGCACGAGGCAGCGAGTTGAAATTGATGCAGAATTGTACATTTATTTACAACATTCCAAATCGTACTGCAAAAAGCAGATTGCCATGACGTCAATTCTAGCAGAGCTAGCAACAAAAAATCGCCTAAATCTTGCAAATCGCATAAAAAACGCAAACGACATGATGAAAAGTGCACTGGTGGGTGGGTAGCATCGCGATGCTACTGAAATCAGTTCAAGTAGTCTGTCATGCAAAGCATGGATACGCAATCGCTGCATGCAATCGGTCTCTTTAGCCGGGCCAAAAGGCGATTTTTAAGGTTAACAAGTGATGGCAACACGCGAAAAGAGGAAATCACATCTTTCTATTCGCGTCCTCCACACCTCAACGAATCGTCCCACGGGACTGTAGGCTCGAGCCGAGTCGCCCAACGAGCTGAAATGGGCATTTCGAGTGGGATTCGAATGGGACTGGTGACGAAGAGAGCTGGGAGGTCTGCATCAGATTGGCAGACCGTGAAGACGGTAAAAAATGGTATCTTCGTCTGTCTCACTGTCTTTGCCGGAAGCTGAATGTCGTATTTGTGCTCCACATTTTCGGGCTGTGCACCGCTTCCCTGCTCGTGTTGCTCTGGTGAGGCGGTGGCCTGAAGAATACCGTCTTCCGGATTCAATTGCAGCATGCACCACTCCTCAAAGTACGGGTTTTTGCGACGTCCGCCATTTGGGCGTTGTGCTAACAGACTGATTTTGCCTCATTTGACTGCCTCGAATTGGGCCCACGAAAGCGGAATATGCCAAGTTCTCTGTTTCCAAATGATGCCGGATTCCGATTTCGCGCAAGTGGGGCAAATAGGCCAGAGGAACTGCCACCTCCGGACCATCTAATGGCATGACAACGCACTGAAATCTCGCCGAAAAACCGCTCGAATTCGCTGTCGTGACTGAGCAGAGCGGCGGATTGAGAGACTGAATCAGCTTTTATCAGATTTATTCACCCAATTTCGTTTGAGCTGATGAAGGACTGGAAGTACAATTTTCCCACCATCATATGAGTATAGCTGACATTTCCATTCAATTTCACATAGCCTTGCTTCCCCATAAGTTGTTCTCATCTTTTGAGAAAGCAAAGCAATGCAAAATTCAATGGAAATGACAACTCTACTCATATGATTGTGGAAAAATTGTACTTCCAGTCTTTTATCACCTTAAACTCATACTACTTATTTACTGTTAATCTCGACACAATACTTAAATACGAATATAACAAAAATAAATTCGTACAAAGCTAGCTAGATATAGGATGATTTTGATAGTTAGTTGTCAGGGTAATCTGAGTATATTTTTCGCATTTTATTATTGTTGCGAAACTACCAGTAAATCAGTAGTATGAGATGTTGAAACTGCAGTCCACTCCTGCCTGGATGAGAACAAATGTTGGGAAAGCAAGGCTATGTGAAATTGAATGGAAACGTCAGCTCTACTCACATGATTGTCGGAAAATTCTACTGCCAGTCCTTCATCATCTTAAACGAAATTGGGTGAATACATCTCATACTACTTATTTACTGTTAATCTCGACACAATACTTAAATGCGAATATAACGAAAATAAATTCTAATAAAGGTAGCTAGATATAGGATGATTTTAATAGTTAGTTCTGAGGGTAATCTTAGTATATTATTCGCATTTAAATATTGTTTTGAGACTACCAGTAAATCAGTAGTATGAGATGTAGAAATAGCAGTCCACTCCTGCCTAAATGAGAACAACTGTTAGGAAAGCAAGGCTATGTGAAATTCAATCAAAACATCAGCTCAACTCACATCTTCTTCTACCAGTTGGGTGAATACACCTCATACTACTGATTTACTGGTAGTCTCGAAAGCATAATTAAATGCGAAAAATGAATCAGCTTTTGTCATCTGGACTCACTAACACGACCCGGTAGCTCTTCAACAGGACACGACTGGCTTTCCTGTACCACAACAGCCCACATGGTTGAATGGGCGATTTCCAGCATCGCTTTCGTGAACAATTCCGAGATTTCGCCAAAAGCAAGCTGGCCGATGTGAAATATTTCGAGGCGATTGGCCCCTAAAATCGTCCGAGTTGACTCGGACTCACAGAAATTGTGAAGCCCACAGACAGAATGTCACCGTCGTCGTCATGCCAACTGTTGAGTGAGAAGATGTGCTGTCGTCTGGTCGGCGTCGACAGTCGAAAGTTTAGTCACAACAACAACAACTGAGGAAAGGGACAAGATTCCGCTGACCGGTGGTGCTGTCTCTCCGACTTCGCTGTCTCTTCCCAGCACACCCACACTCGGAAAGATCGAAATAGAAGAAAATCTTCTCAAAAGGAATTGTTCAACCGACAAAGAAAGAATCTATCAAACTGATCCAGTCGTTTATTGCCAAAATACATCAAAAAGGGAGGATAGAAAGAAAGTTAGACGAAGAAAAGTTGGGTTTCGAGGAATCTCTTGATTCATAATCGTTGAGCTAACTTCCATTTCGAGTGAAAGTGTTGCGTAAAGAGATTCGAAGGTCGGTTCCACCAGAAGACGACCAGCAACGGATTCCTCTTGACCTGCTGTCGATTGGCTTTACTGGAACATTCATGCACGAAGTCACATTCTTATTCAAAAATGAGGAATATTCCAGAAAGAGCATCAGCGATCGGTTCTATCCGATCAATTTACTCTCCGATCTGTACGGATCCAGAATGACCAAAAGTTAAGGGATGTTTTTATTTTAGATTTCATAATTACAAGCGAAGAAAAGTTGGGTTTCGAGGAAGCTGTTGTTTCATAATTTTTGAGCTTACTTCCATTTCGAGTGAAAGTGTTGGCTGAAGAGATTCGAAGGCCGGTTCCACCAGAAGACGACGGCCGATTCCTCTTGACCAGCTGTCGATTGGCT